ATTATTTGTTAAAACCTAATAATGAATTAAATGGAACTGTTTTTTTACATGTGGACATGGTCTATATTACAATGGCTCTCATTACAATTAGACTTTTTTTAATAATACGTATGATGTTATTGCTGGTGAACAGCCCAATTATACTTAAAATAAAATTAATAATCATCAATCATAATGTTTTTATGAAACTAAAATTACTTAAATCTGGAAAAAAAATTAGATTGAAACTTGAAAAAGTATGAAATAAAAGTTGGATGAAGTTAAGGTAAAAGAAAAATAGAATTTGGATAAAGATACGAAAAAATTGAAAAATTTCGTATTACGGAAACGCTGATTTGTTGCGTATTTCGATTAGTTCAATAATTGAATGTTAATAGATGATACATTTTTTTTACAATAATAATTGTTTCACATATTTACCTCTTATAAATAAAATGAAATAACTTATTAAATCGTAAATAAGTATATGCATACTGTACATAGTTGAAATATGACTAGTGTTTATAAATACCAGTATACATATGGCAATTAAATTTTCCAGAAAAGGAATTTTATACAATAGAATGTAAGATAGAATAATTTTTATGTATAGAGTCCAGTCCAATAAGGAAAATAGAACAATTTTTGTTTGCGAAAACCAAACTATTAATTCACACATCACTGGATCGGAAAATTCGCGAGGAACATGATAATGTAATAAAAAAAACATTTAGGGGCCATAGAAGAGAGGGGAAGGGAGGTAAATCACAAAAAATCCCCCCAATCGCACATTTTTCGATTTCTAAGATAAAAAAAGTTTTAAATAAAAGTACTGATGACTTTTTCGTATCTATCATAAATTAAGAGTTATTCGCAATTAAAGCTTCAGACGACACTTTGAAAATTAGAAAAAAAAAGCGCTACAAATATCTTTTTGTGGCGATTGATTGATTTCTAATAATGAGATATCAAAGTGAATTCTCAGAGAAAAAAAAAGTTTTTCATAAATTTTATTGATAATTAATCATTTAAATGGTTTTAATTTTCGTGAAAATGCACCAATCAGCCCTGGTTTTGGTTTAAAATGTGCAGAATCAAAAATTGAACAGTTGACCTATAGATCATTTTTTTCTATCTTTCACCTATTTGAAGTTAAATACATTTCAATGTTTGGTACTCAAGCGCTTTTTCTCTTGTGGCACGGTTGGGAGCAACAAAGAACAATAGATATCTCTCTGTTACACTCACACTCATACAAAACTCTTACGCATGTGCCGAGTGTTGAAAATATAGATATTTGCTCTACGACTTTAGACTGTTAACCTATAGGATGCGTGGGATGGCCGCCAAATGACAAGCAATATTTAAACACACTAAATAATATTGATTAATTATAAAAATACAAGCAAAACTTAAAACTATAATCTTTATAAATCTAGCTACAGCTATGGTGGGAGAAAGACCGGGTTCTCATCAAGGCGGACACGGAATATTTGGTTTCGGCGCCAGCCACTTAGGCTAGTCAGTGACTCTCCAACCGCCACAAAAATCATTTAGTGCGAATGAAATGCACATTTCAACCATGAAAGTGACAAGGACACTATACGGTGAGTAAATTGGGGGATTTCTTAGGTCCAAGCCGGGTAGTGGAAAATAGTTTATATGACCCTCAACAATAGACAAGAGGACCATAAAAATTTTAAATGTGGGCTCCAAGTCGAATAACATTTTCAACTACTGAGCGCGAAAATTTTTCACGTGCTTCATATATAAGAGAAAATTTTTTAATTTTCGGTCCGATAATCAACCACATAGATCGATAGAAAATTTAATTCTCTATCGATCTAGCTATACTTTCTTGAGGACCTTTTTTCGCCTAGAAAAATTCGTTACTCATCATAATTATTCTGAGGGTCACTTCACAAGCTGACTATTTTCTAGTATTAAGCAAATGAAATCATCGGAATATATATAGTTATAGTCCTTAGGTACTAGATTAGTCCGCGTGTACGCCACCAGGTGGCTACCGCCAAACCATTTCGCGCAGCTTGTGCGTGGAAAAGAGTCAATAAAGTAGAATCTGTGAGCATAGGCAAATCAGACTTGGCTCATTTTGTATCAGTATCTGTCAGTCAAGCGGACAGTAACCAGTTCCGACATCTCTTGTCGTAGTAATGTTTCTGTTTATGAAAAGCTTGAGCAAGATTCGACCTTACTAACTCGTAGGTATGTTGAAGAACATCAATATCTTGAATATGATCTCTCAAGGATGCACACTTACGACCAATATGAGAACACAACGAATTGGGTAAAATCAGCTCACGACCAAAGTACAGGTAGGCAGGAGTAAACCCTGTTGACTCATGTAGAGAAGTATTGTAAGCAAACGATATTCAATTTATGATCATCGATCATAATCAATAAGTTCACTAATTTAATCTGTGGGTTCAGTAGAACGAGGTCTCTTGTTCAAGCGCCAAAATATTTAACGGTTACTTCTTGGATTTATAAAATTTTAAACGAGATATGTAATCAAGTTAGAAATATCAATTCAACTATTCATTACAACGTTAGTTATTGATAGTGACTTTAAGACTGTTAACTAATGTGAAACGGTGAAATTTAGAAACGAAATGAATATTCAATTCTACGACAATTTAATCATTAATTAATTATTATTGATTATTGTGATAGAAAGAGTTGAATTGCATCACACAGTACTTTTGTCCCGATTTATGCTCATAAGTCTAGTTGTCGTGTGCAGTCAGTCAAACAGACAACAGGAGATCCCTGATGTTTGTAATATATATCTGCTGGTTTCCCAACTTCCCCAGAAATATAAATATTAGCTCCATACTTTTCTTGTAATTTTTTGTACACAGTTTGACGATGTGCGGATTTGTCTCCGATTATCAATTCAAAGTCTTTCCAGAAAATGGCGATTTCTCTGGATAATTATTCTCAATGTAATTATAAATATTATTCATCGTATCATTCATATCTTTTCTTGATTGAGATGTATCCTTCGAAATTGGTGTCATAAAGATAGCATAACAATTAATATGATAACGTGCGTTCACCAACAGTAAAGATCGGATATTGCTTAAATTGTTGATAACACATTCACCCCATTCATCTTTTCTCAGTTAGGCACTTGTACTGAATCGTTCTGTCATGTACTCATATGTAACTTTCTTATTATCTTTGGAGTTTCATTTTTCACCACACAAAAAGCATAATTTCGGCAAAATCAAAATTATCTGTGGAATCTTCGTCAATAAATGGATCTTCATAATGGTTCTTCTTCTTCTGTATAATAATTTGTACGTTTATATCTCAAACGGCAATCTAATAAGAAGAGAAGAGTTGAGAGACATTAATATGGCAATTAAATCGAATGCTTTTATAAATTGTAGGATTAATAAAAGGAATAATATATGATAATTATGGTTATAACGGAATAAGTAATGTTGCATAATACATTTCAATGTAGAAGAATCAGTAGGTTTAAGGTAACTTTGTAATTTAAATAATATAGAATTGATTATTATACGCACTGTTGTTTTACGAAATGTTAGAAATATTTATTTTCGCAACCGCGACAAATAAAAATAAACTAATGTAATGGCACCGATTATCGACCAGGTAAAATCTATAAATTAAATACTAGACTTGATTGATGTGGAGTCTCATTTGAGCCGTCATCCTAATTAGACGTGTTTACGAGGTTGCTTGTGTTTACCCTATGTATGTATAGGAAACATTCTGACTAACTGTTAGTGAAAGTGTTTTTTTGTGCAATTTTTATGTATTCTGTGCGCTATGAGTGTCCACCTGAGACAAAATTCTGTTGCTTAAGTGCCAGTCGTTCAAATGTCTCCAACTAGAGAGGCATTTTACACCAAAAATTAATTCTTTATCTTCAATCATAGCCACAGTAGCTGACAACTCAAACGCTAAACGCAAAACCACTTATGCTGAGTTAGTGCAACTGAGTTAGTTAGTCAATTTCCTTGACTAACAACTCGAAGATTACCTTTGGGTCTTATATCTTGCCAATACGTCTATTAATATCAAGAAATAAACGTGTCATTATTTCCAACGTTCATCCTTCCATCCTTCACCCGGTTATACTTGATGAATTAACCGAACTACGTATTACTCCGGCTTCTCGAATTTCTTTGATAAGAGCGTCTATGAGTAAACAAAGTCCGTCGCAAATGCTAAGTTTCAGAAGAAAAATATATTTAAAACCCAAGGACTTAGTTGAACTATCTGCTTCAATCGAAATTGTATATGACAAACACACTATTCTAGATATATTTTGCTTCTGAATCGCTCTCTTGCTTTCTGTCTAAAAAAGAAGGTCATTTGGCCAAATTTTGTAAGAATGGGATATTCATTGACCTGCTTCATTTCGTCAAATTCTAACTCACTACCGCAGGCTTCGCTTGTATATGTCCTGAAATTAACATTTCCATCTTCTCCAATCTTGACAAAACTGCTTCCATATTCACAGCTGATTGCGCTGCACTCCTTGATGCCATGAAAATATTCTTCGATTATCCTTTCAACAACTTCCTTATTTTCTCAGGCTCTTTAAGTGCCCTCCAGAGCCTATAGTCACCTACTATTCACATTAAAACCATTTCCTACATTCTTCAGATACACTGCAAATCGAAGTGTTTGACTTTAATTTGCTTGAAGTGCATTAATTGTTGTAGTAGCTTTTTAGTCACTTCAACGTGCATTAAAAATTTCAAAACACATACACTGCATTAGAACTATGCACTAATGAGATTTACTTTAATGCACATAATATTTAGTAACTTTAGTGCGTTCTGTCTTATAAATAAAAGATATTATTAATGTACAGGATAAAATGAAATCCGAAAAATTTGTAAAATATATTCATTTATTGATGATATGTCAGTAAAACCTATTTTATAAAACTTTCTTGTTAAATATTGAAACATATTAATATAATTGTAGCTACAATATTTTCAATAACATAGGTTGTAATCAATTTATGAGAAGTATCAGCGGAAAGTGAATATTCAAAGGAAGTTAACATTTGAGAAAATTTATTAAGAGTGTTCGTTTTCTGCAGAGTCTTTTTGTGTTTCCTGAACAATAGCATCTCTTTTTCTAATGAATCTTGAAATTACCTGATTAGCTTGAACGGATGTGCCTAACAAAGCGTTATCAATATATTGTAATATATTTTTGTATGGAGAAGGATATTTTACATGCCAAACATAATAAGTCGACATTAAACAAACAACGATGTTTTCCATTGTCGGTGATTTCATCTTCACCTGCGTCTTATTGTCTGCTACAACGTATGCCACTGCAATTCTTCCTTCATCCATATAAATCACACACCTAGGAGATTCGCCTGGACCAGCTTCAATGTCTTCAATAGAAGAATTAACCTGTAATGATACCTTCTTTAAAGAGCAATTCAAATGATATCTTTTTACTTAATCAATTATTTTCGAAAATTTTTAATATTGATTGTGAATTAATAACTCACTTGGTTCAATTTAAATAACGGTATTGCATTTTTGTTTACTTTTCTTGATAATTCTCCATATAATTTTGACAAAACCTGGTATTTAGATTCATCTGTAATTTCGCCAATTCGATAACATTCTAATAGTTTTTGAAACATAAAATTAGCGTTTGTATTTAAATCGTCAAGACTCAAATTTTTCATTGCACAAAATTCAAAAAGAATCTAAAAAAAAGCGATTAAAAAAATGTTATTGTTGTAATACTTTCATATTTTATACCTTGATACTTTTGTATTATTATACAAAAAGACATTTTATACGTACTAGATTATAAACCTTCAGTTGAGGATATAGTTCAACTATATTTTCGATTGATTTAGCTTCATTTTGAATCCATTGGTGTCTTTGAGGCAAAGTTATTTTTAATAACTTTTTCACGTGTGGTAAGTTTCTTTCGCTATGATTTTTTTGTAGTTCTCTCAGTGCTCTTTGGATATCAGCGTCGTCTATTTGATTTCTGTAATTTCACAGCATTTTAACTATAGCTTGATCCATAAGTGATTTTGAATTAGAAAGTATGTTAAATATAGTAAAAACGCAAGGTTTTTTGGAAAATTCTAAAAAATTAATAATAATAGTCTGTTTCTCATTAATTGAAAAAAGCTTGTTTGGGTCTACATAATTTTGTATTAAGTTATTCTTAAAGTAAGAATGAAAAATTTCTTAATTGGAATAGCAATTCTAATAATGATTAACAATTAAGTAACATTAATTTTAATATTTACATTTATCATTCATTACAATGAAGAGATTAATGATTAATTATTGAGTTCTCGAAGAAAACTTACATTTCTTTCACCTCTACGGATGCTCTTGAAAGTATCTTTCCATCTTTATCTCTTTTGGCGGCTTGTGTTTTTAAATAGGCCCGGTGGTTACGAATCCACGCACTCAATTGTTTTCTAACAATACCCTTAAAATGAAACAAAATTTGTTATCATAAATAGAAAATCCATTAGTAGAATAATGCAACTATAAGCTATTAAACTTGAATCATCACATTTGTTGAAAAATCTTTACTTACTATTCCACCAGCACCACCACGTAGTTCAGGGAATTTAGTCGTTATTTGGGTTGCAAAGTTAGCATAATCTTCTGATGAAGGTTTAGTATCAGTAATTTCCCATAAGTAATTTCCCCAAAAGCTTATTATATATGTATTAGAAGCCAAGACACCATGAGATTTGATTTTATTTTCTATGTCAATTGTTAATTTAGGTAAGGTGATTTCATGCGGTTTTAGATTTTTAGATTTTGGTATGTCAGATAATTTTTTCCTTTCACTCTCAGAAAAATTTTCATTTGACACATTATCAACCTATGAACAAAACAATAATTCATGAAGATACAACATTGCAACATGCGAATATTACTAAACAATAAAAGCGATTATGATTTTTTCTTACCTCAATATCGTTTTCTTTATCAGTTTCCGCATGATCAGGATAAAATTTATGTTGTACATCAACGGACGCCATAAAAGGTTCGGTATACACAACTTTAACCTCACTATTTCCCGCCAATTCTTCAGCTGCACAACTTTGAGATGTCGATGGGATAATAAATTCTTGGTAAATTGGCACTAATAAAACGTTGATATTATCTAGATTATTAATTTCTTCGGCGTCTTCAATATCAACATGAATTCCAGCATCAACATCTTTTTTTTGCAAAATGATTTCTTTGTTCTCGAGCGATGCTTTTAATGACGAGTCTCGTACACAAAGCTCTAACAGTTTATTTTTTACTATTTCTTTGTCAGAAATAGTCTTTAAGCTGATAAATTTTACACATTTACACCTACCCAAAATTGCACAGAAGATTTTCTTTTCCATTTTTTATTTCGTTTCACTTTCAATTAGATTTTCATTCGATCACTGATTTTACTAGATTTCTTTGTATGTAAAGTAAGACCCACGCGTTCCACGTTTGTGCGGTTAAACACGGTAACTGGGACTGTGCGCAGAAACTTGCGCAAACTTTAACGCGTCCTGTAAACGTTGTGACAGTGAGCACGATTTCCGGATAGCTATTCGAAAAATTTGATTAAATTATTTGGAAACATAATCTAATTACATCAACACATTCATCCATGTAATGAAAATTTTTATGAAATTAGTTTTATTAATCAAAAAGAAACTTAGTATTTTATGTAGATATAACCTTAAAAAGTTTGGTTATGACAGTGAGTAACACTTATGTATATGTCAGCTGATTAGTTATTGAAAATGAATGGAGACAATATTTTTATTAAATGCACAATGTGTTTTTTTCAAATGTTATTCGAAAATCACTTTATTAAAACATGTAGTGCGATATCACCAACTTGATCAGCGTTTTAAAGTTAGCTGTGCAGAGGATGGATGTGGAGCAATTTACACCAAATGGAAATCTTTTCAGCAGCATGTTTACAGAAAACATCCAACACTTTCAACAATTCTTGATGAAAGACCATTAGTACATGATAATGGACAGCAAGAACAAGATTTTGGAGTTAGAGATGAATTAAATGATGAAGAAGGTAAGCAAAATTCTAATGTACTTTGTGAGTGCACGTAGATCACTTTATCAATTTTTAATCGTTACAATCACGCCAGATGCAACCCTTGTAATAACTTTATTTGTCTTAATAAATCAGGAATGACAGAAAGAGCTGAATATGCTACAATGAAGAATCTTCAATGGTATGCTGCTAAATTAATAATAGATATAAGAGAAAACTGTAAAATTTCTCAGACATCAATAGATCAGGTCATTAACGGAATCACTTCACTGGTAGATGTTTATTTATCAATAATATTGGTGAGTATTATAGCAGATATTTTCTGAATTGTTCAAATACATTTTCATAGTAACCAATTGTAATATTTAATCGCTGGGCTATGATTTCTTTTGAATTAATTTTTTATGAAAGAAGGATAATATCTTTGATGTCATTTTAACCATTTTACAGGAAGAATGTCAAAAGAAAACAGATCCTGTAAGTCACATGCTTTCAATAGACGATGTTAACACTATATGTATGGAAGAGTATCCATCAACTACACTCTTTTCTATATTACAATCAAAATCTACTCTTGATAAATTTTTAATTGAAGAAATGCGCATGGTACAAGCTACAGAAGTTAAGATTTCGTCAAAATGGCAATGGAAACAAAAAAAGAGGCTTTCTACAATTTCTAGAGACTTATGTGAAGTTACACATTGTGCATACATTGTTCCTTTTCTGGAAAATTTAACTAATCTGTTAATGAACGATGAAGTTAGATTGCATATAGACAATCCTCTCGATCATGACCCAAGTGTATACCGTACAGTGTTGGACGGTTCATATTATCGAGAAAATGAGTTTTTTCGTAATAATAAAAACTCTTTAGCAATATCGTTATATTACGATGATGTGGGGATTACCAACCCTTCAGGAGCTAGTTCTAAAAATCAGAAGTTAGCAATGTTTTATTGGACTCTTCTAAATATTAAGCCCGAGTTACGATCTTCAAACAACACCGTTCAATTGTATGCCATTGTTAAAACAATATATTTGAAAGAACCGAATGCCTTAGAAAAAATTTTGAGACCTTTCATCGATGATATTGAAATATTACGAACAGAAGGTTTAAATATGTATGTTAACGGAGTAAGGAAAAATTACAAAGGCTCATTATTGAACATTCTAGGAGATACACCTGCATCAGCTTTGATGGCCGGTTTTAAAGAATCTGTGGCTGCATATCGACCATGTCGTTTGTGTATGGTAACAAAAGATGTATTAAAACTAAATCCTTTTGAAAATGAGCAACTACTGCGGAATAAAGATTTACACATGCAATATTTAAATGATATCAACGAGCCAGGTATCACGAAAGCCGCGAAAAAATACTGGCAATTATCGTATGGTATAAATGGTGTGAGTCCAGTTGTAAACATACCTTACTTTGATGTAACACAATGTTTACCAATAGACTGCATGCATATCCTTCTTGAAGGAATTGTTGAGCAGAATATAAGATTATTTTTGAAGTATTGCATTGTTCAAAACGAACTTTTCACGATTAACAATTTTAATATAAAACTGTCTACATTCAATTATGGTCATTTCAATCGAGATAAACCCGCTGAAATCCAATTAAAGGATCTTGATGACGTTTTGCGACAAAGTGCCGCTCAAACTTTTGTACTTGCTCATACACTTCCATTTTTAATTCTCCAATTAGTTGATAATGACGGAGAAGATCTCAATGACCGAATCGACTGTTTTAGTTTACTACTACAAGTTATGAATTTATGTTTAGCATATCAAATAAGTAGGGATTCAGTAGATTTATTAAGTAGGATGATCGATATATTTATAACACGTTTCAATGGGCTGTATCCGAATAGTATAATACCAAAAACACATTTTTTAACGCACGTTCCACGATGTATAAGATTATTTGGACCTCCAAGACAACACTGGTGCTTCAGATTCGAATCTGCCCACGCTTATTTCAAATCACTTGTACCAGTTGTTCGCAACTTCAAAAACATGCCTTTAACCATGATCTATAGACACCAAAGTCGTATTTGTTCTCGCCTTTTTTCTAATCCAGGTCAATCTTCAAAACTGTTTTTACACGAAAGTAAAATAATTGTTCCTGGTCTAAATCATTATTTCACACACTACAAATATGCCTCATTGCTATATCCATTAATACCACATGAACTTCAGGAAACATGTTCAATAATGGTGTCTCCAAAAGTGGCCATTTATGGAGCGATTTTTAAGAAAGGCAGCATTATTTTGTTAAGTTGTAATGAAGATCTTCCACTAGAATTTGGTGAAATACTGGATATCTGCGTTTATGATAGCAAAATTTTTTTTGTAATCTTAAAATTAGAAACAATCTGTTATAATAGAAATCTTAATTCTTATCAAGTGTTAAAGCCTATAGCCACAGTCCAACAAATATTACTTGGAGCTGATGACCTATTGTTTCCTCACCCACTATTACGAGTTAATTTAGATAATAAAACTTTTGTACTACTCATTAATCATGAAAGATGTGAATTTTTTTAATGATAAATGGAAATAAAAAATTATATTATAATAAGAAAAATGTAGATATTTGTATAATCTCTTTGGAATATTATTATATTTTACCTTTAAAAAGTTCAATCCTACAGAAACATACAAATACAAAATAAACAGGATGAGCATTTTATTAGTATATAAATTATGCATTTCATACGTTTTGAATTAATATGTTCAATGTGTTTTGAAATGAAACACCTAAATGTATTATATATTTAATGTATTACAGTGTATTAAAACAAAATGTATCAATGCATCATTGACACAAAATAATGCACACGAGGCATATAATTTCAAAACTATTCATAAAAATGCACGTACATATATTAAAATAAAACACGTACAGTGTTTTTGAATAAAACACTGCGATTTGCAGTGTAAGAAAAATATATCACGGAATCTTGTCTAGAGGTGTCAACTTTGTACGCTTCTTCTGGATCCCCTCACACAGGGGTATTCATGGAATCGAGGATGTTGATACACTCGCTGAGCGTGCTACTGTCACTCTTTCTATTTCTCTAAATCCTGTTCCTTTCTCTGACTTCTTTCAAAAGTAATGCCATATCTTGCACCAATAACACAATCTAACAGCTTGGATTCACAAAAGGTTCTATGTACTTTCAGTGTTTTTTTGATGATAAACGCAAGCTTTGGTTTTCCCACATAAAACTCAGCACATCTCTTATTGTTACCATTAATCGGAGCAGAGCAAACCACTATCACTGGGTTGCCTCTCTGTCTCGTGCTAGCATAACTTTGAATTCCTCCTGTAAATGCGGTGAAGAAGCAGAGTCGTTGAATCATGTTATATGGCAGTGTAAATTGTACAATACCCAAAGAGCCATACTTATTAAAGCATTAAAAAGAATAAAAATGTATCTACCTCTCTCTGTAGAAGCTATAATCGCAGAACCCAACATTAGGGCCTGCTACCTCATACACTCTTTTCTTTGATCATGCAATATTAATGTTAAAATTAACTTTTAAGTCAAATCTCTGTTTACGTAGTATTATATATAAAACTGTACTTTAAGGCGCTGTAACACTTTTTTTTTGTTATGAAATATGGATACTACTTGTTACTAATTAACCGTGAATCAGAAACATTGTATGTGTTAATTTTGAACAATAATGAAGCCGTCAACAAGTGGTTTTTTTGTGATTAAATAGTTAATGGTTGAGAAAATGAGTGATAAGAAACAAGTGCATTACACAAGTGCGTCATTAGACAATGCTCTTAAAGCTATCAATGATGGAGTCATGTCAATTAGAAAGGCAGCTAAAATTTACAACATCCAAAAAAACGACATTGATTCACACAAATAAAAAAAAATACTCGAATAATATCGGTGAACCGACGGTTCTGACCACTGGAGAAGAAAATTTGTTGGTCAAGTGGCTTATTGATATAGGAAAGAAAGATTTTCCTGTAACCAAAAACCAACTGTTAGAGGCGGTCGCAAAATTGATCGAAAAATTAGTTCGGCTGAATCCATTTAAAAATGTCATCCCTGGAAAAAAATAGTTGCAATCATTTCTAAACAATTCAAGAATACGACAAATGAGTGGCAAGGTGAACTGTGTCACCTCATTTTGTTTCAATTATGGAAGAAAATGACTCACAATACGATGCTGAATATAATTTAGAAGCAACTGCATTTGATGAAGAATAATGATTGCATAACGCCATCAAGGCTGTTATTGATGAAAATGGAGCTGTTAACATCATCAACAAATCTTCGGAGAATCTGAAACAAAAGACTTCTACGAAACACAATAAACATCAACAATTTACTGGATACATCAAAAAGTAAGAAAACTAGAGTCACTTTGACAGTTGCCATTAATGC